CTCGTACTTGCTGCTCCCCCACCCCGAGCTCTAGGCTCCTAGAGGAGCAGCTTTGGGGTAGGACTGAGCTGGAGATATCTGTGTGGCCCGACCCCACAGAGAAGTGCCGGAAGACTGTTTCTTTCCTTTACTGTCTCGCCTTCATGGTATTGTGGGAAATGCCACAGAGAGGAAGGGAGAGTACAGTGAGAGCCCTACACTGTGCCCTGGGACAGGGTTTCTGTTCTTTTCTTGGATCTTGTGACCAGCACCGCAAACAACAACCCCTCCCACCTGAACTAGCCGGCCTAAGGTCAGATCTCAGATCTGCCACCACCAGCTGTGTGACCTCAGGCAAGTTATTAATCACTCTGTGCCACTGTGCCTTCATCTGAAAAATGGGGATTACTGCAGTCCAGAGGTTGTTGTGAGGATGTTAGTGTGTGCTACTTCATGTTTTCTGGCATGGAGTTAGCGTTCAGTTAATGTTGGCTCTTATTATTCTTCTGCAGAAAGAGGAAATGGAACTTGGGCGTGAAGCAAGGAATGGACACAAACACCTTTTGGCCATTGCTTCCAGCCCTGGCCTTTTTCATTAGTTCTCCTCCCATCTGTGTATGTCCAATTTATTTTTATTTTATTTTTATTTACTTATTTTTTTGAGACAGAGTCTCATTCTGTTGCTCCAGACTAGAGTGTCACGGTGTCAGCCTAGCTTGCAGCAACCTCAAACTCCTAGGCTCAAGAGATCCTCCTTCCACAGCCTCCCAAGTAGCTCGGACTATAGGCATGCACCACCACGCCCAGCTAATTTTTCTATTTTTTTTTGCAGTTTTTGGCTAGGGCCAGGTTTGAACCCGCCACCTCTGGTATATGAGGCCGGTGCCCTACTCCTTGAGCCACAGGCACCACCCAATTTTTCTATTTTTAGTAGAGACAGGGTCTCACTCTTGTTGAGGCTGGTCTCAAACCCCTGAGCTGAAATGATCCTCCTGCCTCAGCCTCCCAGAGTGCTAGGATTACAGGCATGAGCCACCATGCTCAGCCTCTGTGTCAAATTTAAAACTTGGTTTATTTTTGTTAAAAGAGGATGGATTACATAGTATGTGGGCCCAGCACACAGTCGGCATATGATCTGGAAATTGTTGGTATTATATTTTGCTCAACAAATTTTTTTTAAGTCATGATCTTCTTACATTGGGTCATCCAGGCAGTTATTTTCCAAATTCTGCTGCCATGTTTGTTTGGAGATTATGTATCTGCATTCAAAACATTGATTTGTACCTACTGTTTGCTGGAATAAACAGTGAACAAGAAAGATCCAGGGAGAAGAACCAAAAGCCTACATAAAAAACAGAATTTCACAGATGGTGGTTGTTTGGGTGTCAGGCGTCTCTGGCGTCAGGCCTGGCCCTGTTGTAGGAGTTTCCAGGCGTCTCCCAGGGATGGAGTCATCTGGCCAAAGTGCTGGGTTGCTGACCCAATGGACAATTGGGTAGAGTGACCATAGCAGGTCCTTCCCTCCACAGGGACCCCCAGAATACCCTGGTGAGCCATCCCAGACAATGAGGGCAAGTGCTCCCACTTGGTGGGGGAGGGGCTTCAGGCCGGACCCTCCAACACTCTTGACCCTCCATCCCCCACCTCTGCTGCCCTTCCCAGTGCCCAAAGGTCTCAGAAAGTCTTCTCCACTTTGATTCTCCATATTCAGGGTCTGGAGATGCATAAAAATGGTCACAACTCTCTGGGTCAGGGGACCCAGAGAGGGGAACTGACTTGCTTAGAGACACACAGCAAAGTGGTGCCAAGCCCAGGCTCCCTCTTTTCTCAGCCCTACACCCCACCTCCCTACCCCAAACCACACCCTCCTGGGTCTCCTGTGTTAAGAGTGAAATGAATTATCCTGCCCCGACAGGGAGGGGGAGGCAGTTCCTGAGCCTGGGAACCAGCTGTTGTCCTGTAGTGTCGCCATGGCGATTATTTCTCCGGATTAAGGGCCTGACCCTTGCAAAGCCAGGAAGCAGAGGAAGGAGTGGAGGCCTGGCGTTCGCACTTTTAACATAGACAAAGCACTTTCATTCATGTGTACTGAGCCCTTCTGAGTGCTCCACAATGCACTTGCCCATTTAGAGGCACAGACTGCATCATTTATTGGCATGACTGGTATTAGGATCCCCAGTTTACAGATGTGGAAACTGAGGCTTGAGATTAAGTCATTGGCTCGAGATCACTCAGCAAGTGGGAGACTGAGGATATGTTAGCACCAGTTGTGTCTGGTGTGATAGGAAATCTTCTCCCTATATTTTAACTGATGTCTATGACAACTCACTTTACAGATGAGGAAACTAAGACCAGGGGCCTTTGACTCAGGGCTTCTGAGTTCAGAGCCACATTTTTCTTTTTCTTTTTTTTGAGACAGAGTCTTACTCTGTTGCCCTGGGTAGAGTGCCATGGTGTCATAGCTTGCAACAATCTCAAACTCTTTGGGTTTGAGCAATCCTCTTGCTTCAAGCTTCCTGAGTAGCTGGGGCTACAGGTGGCTGCCATGACACCCAACTAGTTTTTTTCTATTTTGTTTTTTCAGTGGTACGCACTGGTCTTTATTCATATAATCCAAAATGGCTGCATAATATTTCTGGAGAGTTATATTAAAATTACCTTAGACTTTTTTTTGGTTAGCTATTATAAGTAAGGTCATGATATATAGTAGAAATCATCATACATTACTTTCATAATTTGATTTCCTTTATAATGTTTTAGATGAGTCCCACAAAAGTAGAATCACTAACAATCAAGGGGAAACATAATGGTGGTTCTGGAGTTTTTTTTCTATTTTTAATAGCGATGGGGTCTCACTCTTGCTTAGGCTTGAGTCTTGTGCTCCTGAGCTCAAGCAATCCGCCCGCCACAGTATTCCAGAGTGCTGGGAGTATAGGCATGAGCCACTGCGTCGACATGGAGCCACATTTTTCTGAGTGCCTTACCTCCACTGATGCCCCTTCCCAGAGAGCCCCTCTCCCCCATAACAGGCACCATGCTGGGCCAGGGCTTCTTGGAAGAGCTGATGCTTAGAGGAACAGGTTCTGGACCCTAGGGGTGGGCTGGTGCTCAGATCCACTGCATTAATTTCTGGTTTGATGGGGACTAACACATTCAGGCCTTTCTTTTTAACCTGGATCATAATCAAGAAGGAAGAAGAACAGGTTCAGCACCTATGGCTCAAGCGGCTAAGGCACCAGCCACATACACCTGAACTGCAAGTTCGAATCCAGCCTGGGCCTGCAGGACAACAATGAAGGCTGCAACCAAAAAATAGCTGGGCGTTGTGGCGGGCGCCCAGCTACTTGGGAGGCAGAGGCAGGAGAATCACTTGAGCCCAGGAGTTGGATGGAGGTTGCTGTGAGCTGTGATGCCATAGCATTCTACCCAAGGTGACAGCTTGAGGCTCTTGTCTCAATAAAAAAAAAAAGGGCTAGGCGCCTGTGGCTCAAGTGGCTAAGGCGCCAGCCACATACACCTAAGGTGGCGGGTTTGAATCCAGCCTGGACCCGCCAAACAACAATGACAGCTGCAGCCAAAAAATAGCCGGGCATTGTGGCCGGTGCCTGTGGTCCCAGCTTCTTGGGAGGCAGAGGCAGGAGACTCGCTTGAGCCCAGGAGTTGGAGGTTGCTGTGTGCTGTGAAGCCACGGCACTCTACCCAGGGGGATAGCTTGAGCCTCTGTCTCAAAAAAAAATAAAAAAATTAAAAAAAAAAAAGAACTGGACTGGGGTTTTGGGGAACAAACAGGGACCCTGGAGGATGTGCAGAGGACCTGACAAGTGTGGCTGTGGCTTCATCTCTGTGTGTTGTCACTTGGTGTGGGGTGCAGCTCAGGGGTGCAGCCAGATGACTCTGCCTGGAAGCTGCGTGGGTTTGTCATCCTGGAAACTCCCAAGATCTTAGGTCCCGTGTCCTGAGCTGACCTGTTTCCAGGACAGTGCAGCCCCTGTGGAGGAAATCCAAGCAGCTGGTGGGGTCTGGAACAGATGGCTGCTGAGGTGGACAGAGAGGTCTCTGGAAGCCAAGGAACCGTTGCCTGTCCCATGAGTACTTCCCAGCCTCATTCTGTTCTTTAAAACCCCCAGGGGAGGACAAGCTGTTCTTCATATTTCAGTTCCTTTAGCCAGTGTCAGGGAAGTCCTTTCTGACATCTGACTTGAGTCCCTCTAGTACTGTGGTGGGAGGGTAGGGTTCTTCCCAGATATTGGAACCCTGTTCTGAAGCACCATCTGACCCACCCACCAGTGTTCTCCCCTCTTGTGGCAATGGCCTCAGAAGTCAGCCTTGCAAACTCTTTGAAGCCACTGGGCCTGTCAAAGAGTCATTGATTTAGCCTTCCCTGAGTCTGTCACACCGCCCTCCTTTCTGGGCACCAACTTTGTCCTTTGGCACAGCCCTCACTCAGCTGGCTCTCAGTGGATAGGGCCATATTCTGGCTAGGGTGAGGGTGAGGACTGGGCCTTAGGAGTGCTGGAGAGTACCTTCTCCTATAAGCTTTCAGGTAGGATGGGCTGGCAGGGGAATATCAGGAGTCAGGGTTTGTATGAGGGTTTGTAGACATTTGCTGCTAAAGCTCTATAACCTTGAGCGGGGGACTTTGCTTCTCTGTGGTTCAGTTCCCTTATCTATAAGATGGAGCTAATAATACATGTGTGTGTCTATGTAAGGCCTTTTGCATTGTGCCCACCACTCAGAAAACACTGAAGAAGTATTGATGGCCATTATTATTAGTCTAACGCTTTTTTTTTTGCAGTTTTTTTCTTTTTGGCCGGGGCTGGGTTTGAACCCACCACCTCCAGCATATGGGGCTGGCGCCCTACTCCTTTGAGCCATAGGTGCTGCCCCAAGCCTAACGCTTTTTGACTAAGGCTTTTGCTTGGAGTTGGTGGTTTCTGGTCAGGCTCGTTCTCCTGATTGATTGCTGCTTCAGATGAGGCCCTTTGTGCTCCCAGCCTGACTCCAGTCCCTCTTCCCTCCAGGTACGCTACAAGGAGGAGTTTGAGAAGAACAAGGGCAAAGGCTTCAGTGTGGTTGCTGATACACCTGAGCTGCAGAGAATCAAGAAGACCCAGGACCAGATCAGTAACGTAAGCTCCTGCCACCTCCTGTGGCCCCTGCGCATTCTGTGACAACTCCCTTCCCAGGGTACCCTCCCTCCTGGAGTCCCCCTGCTGTCCTCCCTTCTGGGCCCCTCCCTGCCTGCCTGGCAGACATGAATGAGGCAGTTCCCTCCACTGTCCCTGCTGTCCCTCGTGGGTCTGGCTGGTGGCTGCTTGAGAGAGGGAGGCATTTGGGGTTCCCAGATGCTTCTTCTCTGTGCCTCCCCAGATTCTCTTTGCCAGACTTTAGCCCACGTATCACTTCCTCTTTGAAGGGACTGTAGTTTTGTGGGGGTGTGTGTAGGGGCCTGTGTGCTAAATCACCCCCCTTTCTCTCTGAAGCTTTTTTTTTTCTGGGTATGGTGGTTGTCAGGGTACAAACTGGATGTTTCGTCATCTAACAAAGGTCAAGCCTGGAGGATGGGATGGGGCGGGGCGCGGCGGCCTCCCCCTTCTGCCTCTGGGTGCTGACATTACAGTCATTTCCACCCTTCCTCAGTCATTTCCGCCCTTCCTTGGCTTCCTCCCCCACCTCGGCTTGTTCTTCCTTCCTGTGTAAAAACCCCACCTGCAGCGTCCTCCAGCCTGACACCTCCTAGTCTCGGCCCTCCTGGGCCTGGAATGGCCAGCAGGGTCTGGCTGCGACCTGGGTGGGCATGGAGGGTGGGTGGTGGCTCGGAAGCCTCCAGCTTTGTGTGCACTCCCTGGCACCTGTGGCTGGAGAATAGGCTGCTGTTTTCTTGCTGGGCAGAGCCACAGACCAGTAGCCTGTGTGGCTTTGTGCAAGTGGGAGCAGGGTGCTGCTGTAAGCCACAGCCCCGGAACATGGGCATGCGACCCATGCACAGTGTTCCAGGGTGCACAGAGCTGGAGGATGTACCCAGCGGCCCGGGCTGGGAGGTCCTACAAATGACGGATTGGGCAGTCATCTTCACATCTGTAACAAGAAAAGATAGATGAGTTGCCAGTTTCACTCTGGGATGAGGGATTGGTGACAGAGTCTCAGGGAGGGCTGGGTATCTGCTGGGGCACCCTGCCCCACATCCCTTCTCATCCCTCCTCCTGGCCTCCTTGGCAAGATGTTCATTCTAGAGCTGGATGGGCTGTGCTTAGAGCGGGTTGCAGAGGTGGGTCAGGTGGGTTTCAGAAGCACAGGGCAGCTGCAGCCCACAGACTACAAAACTAGCCATGTTGGGCAGCACTTGTGGCTCTGTGAGTAGGGCACCGGCCCCATATATGAGGGTGGAGGGTTTGAACCCAGCTCCGCCCAAACTGCAACAAAAAAATAGCCAGGCGTCGTGATGGGTGTCTGTAGTCCCGGCTACTCAGGAGGCTGAGGCAAGAGAATCACCTAAGCCCAAGAGCTGGAGGTTGCTGTGAGCTGTGACGCTACAGTACTCTACTGAGAGCAACAAAGCAAGACTCTGTCTCTAAACAAACAAACAAACAAAAAATAGCTATGTCCAGGACTGTGGCTTTCAAACTTGCCATTGTGACCCACCAAGCAGACATGCACTTATTTAGAGAGAAAACAGGATCAGAAATTTTATGATTGAGTATTTACTGTTAGAAGGACATTCAGATCTTCATTGTCTGAAGATGCTGGCTAGGGACTTACTGAATGGGTTTTGCAACTAGGTTGTTGACCTCCAGTTTGCAGTTGGTGGCCCGAGGAAATAGCCAACAGGGCGTGCCTCTCAGGGCTCTGATCCCTCTTCCCACCAAAAAGCCTGTTTGTATGCCAGGGCCTGGCCTTAAACCCCAGAGCTTCTCGTCCACCCAGAAGGCTCTAACTGCAAAGTAGGGGAGGAAGAAGGCGGCCAATGGAGGAAATACGGAGCCTCCCCCAAAGCCAGGCTCTGGGCTTTCTAGCCTCTGTGGCTTTTCACTGTGAAAGGCCTTTGTCTTTTATCAGTGACACTTATAACCCCATCTCCCAGGCCCTTCACTCATTGCTTCATCCTGTGGGCTTTAGAGGAAGAGAGACAAGCAAACCCAGTCAGCCCTGCCTCTTTCTGGATGGCTTCCAGAATATTCTATACCCAGGGCCATCTACCTCCTCTTCTTCCCTTATCAGTTATTGGAGGTGTTAATGTCCTAGTAACAACACTCACTGGCCAAGACATCCACACCTCAGGAGATAACCATCTTATCGTGAACCACAATGCTTGGTGCTAGCACTGCAATTAGCTGATTGCCGTCTGCTCTGAGGTAGGGGAGGTGACTGGTCCCTGACCTGGTTGCTGCCTCTGCAGCTTTCTCTGGCACCTGTGAGGTGTGACCACAAAGCTGGAAGACTGTTGGTTTTAGTGAACTCAGTTAAAGTCTGGCTGATGTGGGCCTCCAAACAATAATTGTCTCATAATCACTGGAGAGTCAGCTGAAAAAGCAGAGTCATAGGCCTCCTCCCCTGGCCACTAGAATCAGCATCTCTAAGTCTGGGGCCCTGGAATCAGCATATTAAACACATTCTCTGGGTTTCTAAAACTTCGTCACCAAAATTTGAAAGCACTGGCTCGGTGCCTGTGGCTTAAATAGCTAAGGTGCCAGCCACATACACCTAAGGTGGCAGGTTTGAGTCCAGCCTGGGCCCACCAAAACAACAATGACGGCTGCAACCAAAAAATAGCCCGGTGTTATTGTGGTAGGCGCCTGTGGTCCCAGGTACTTCGGAGGCTGAGGCAGGAGACTCACTTGAGCCCAGGAGTTGGAGGTTGCTGTGAGATGTGATGCCATGGCAGTCTACCCAGGGGACAGCTTAAGGCTCTGTCTCAAAAAAAAAAAAAAAATAAATAAACTGAAAGCACTACCTAAAAGTCTGAAAAAGTTTCACCAACCCCTAGGTCAGAGGGTGCCATATTTGGCTATTTCCCAGAACTCCAAGGGAACTTTGGACCATCTTTAGAAGTATTACAAAATTGTCCCAGCCTCCACAAGAGTTTTGGGAAAGGTGGTATTTAGAGCCACACCTTGTGTTTTGTACCCAAAATAGTGTTCCTGTATGAAGCTTGTCACTTGCTTCCCAGATTAACACAAATGACTCCTGGCTCTTTCTAAAGGTCAGACCATCTTGCTTCCCTGGATATACAGCAGAGGTTTCACCAGGCAGAGCATTTTTATTTATTTATTTATTTATTTTTGTGCCGTTTTTGGCCAGGACTGAGTTTGAACTCGCCACTTCTGGCATATGGGGCCGGTGCCCTACTCCTTTGAGCGACAGGTGCCGTCCTATTTATTTATTTATTTATTTATTTATTTATTTTTATTTGAGACAGTCTCAAGCTGTCAGAGAGCTGTGGCGTCACAGCTCACAGCAATCTCCAACTCGTGGGTTTAAGTGATTCTCTTGCCTCAGCCTCCCAAGTAGCACCAATCACAATACCTGACTATTTTTGTTGCAGTTGCCACTGCTGTTTTAGCTGGCCGTGGCCAGGTTTGAACCCACCACCCTTGGTATATGGGGCCGGTGCCCTACCCACTGATCCACAGGCGCTGCCCTTATTTATTTATTTTTGAGACACAGCTGAGGCATCACGGCTCACAGCAACCTCAAACTCTTGGGCTTACGTGATTCTTTTGCCTCAGCCTCCCAAGTAGCTGGGACTATAGATGCCTGTCAAAATGCCCAGCTATTTCTGTTGTTGTTGTTGTTGTTGTTGTTGTTGTTGGAGTTGTTGTTGTTTAGCAGGCCCAGGCTGGGTTTGAACCCACCAGCCCTGATGTATGTGGCTGGTGCCCTAACCACTGAGCTACGAGTGCTGAACCAGGCAGAGCAGTTTTAAAAACTAGTGTCTGGTCTCCAAGGGTATCTGCTTTGGGTAGATGCAGTCTTTCCTTATGAGTTATGATATTGGTGACTATTGTACTAAGTATGATGTTTAATCCTCTCTAAGTCCTGCTGGCGGCAAGATGGTGAGGTGGGAGGAGACTGCAAGGGCTGAAATCTAGTTCTGTCTTTCCAGGGCTGCTTTGAGCCTCAGTTTCCTCATCTGTAAACATGGGGACAATAGGGTTTACCTTGAAAAATGATTATGGGGAGGGCCAGGTGTAGTGGTGAGGTGGACAGATTGCTTGAGCTCAGGAATTTGAGACCAACCTGAGCAAGACCGAGACCCCCTCTCTAAAAATAGCTGAGTGTTGTGGTGGGTGCCTGTAGTTCCAGCTAGTTGGGAGGCTGAGGCAAGAGAATTACTTGAGCCCAGAAGTTTGAGGTTGCTGTGAGCTATGACGTTATGGCACTCTACTGAGGGCGACAAAGTGAGACTCTGTCTCAAAAAACATAAAAAGTGATTGTGGGGAATATGTCAAGCTCTTGGCATATGATCAGTGTTTTTTTTTTTTTTTGAGACAGAGCCTCAAGCTGTCCCTGGGCAGAGTGCCGT